ACACACACACACACACACACACACACACACACACACACACACACACATCCTTGAAAAGACCAAGCTAATCAGTAAAAATAGGTAACTACTTGTTGACAATAAAGTCAACCATCCCTAAAAAGAAATCAATAAATTTTGGCCTCCAACAAACGGAGAGGATGAAACCATTTAGAAAGGGAAATCTGGCAAGGCAGTGGTGGCACACATCTTTTATCCCAGCACTTGAGAGACAGAGGCAGGAAGGTCTCTGTGAGTCTGAGGCTATCCTGTTCTACAAAGTGAGTCCAGGACAGCCAAGGCTGTTACACAGAGAGAGCCTGTTGAGAGAGAGAGAGAGAGAGAGAGAGAGAGAGAGAGAGAGAGAGAAACAGAGAGAGACAGAAAAGAAAAGAAAAGAAAAGAAAAGAAAAGAAAAGAAAAGAAAAAGAAAGAACAACACTACTCACAATAAAATGAAGTGGAGGTTGTCCAAAGGTTGGTCAGTGCATGAATGACAAACAAAATGAGACCTACTGGAGTATTTATGAAAATGAATAAAACACTGGCCCAAGCTCTAACCTGGATTATTCCTGAAAATATTCTGAATGAGATGCTGGGTGCAAAGGCCACATGTGGAATTGGCAAACTGGCAAAATGGATAAAGATGCAAACATAATGGCCTAAGTTCAATTCCCTAGGGACCCACAGGGTGGAAAGAGAAAGGACTTCTTTATGCAAGTTTTCCTCTGGCCTCCACACATGTACTGTAGCACATACATGTGCCGTGCCCCTTTAAAAAAAAATGTAAAAACCAAACCCAAAGGCCACATGCCATTTTTTCCTACTGATACAAAATGTCTTTAACAGTGAAATAAATAAAGGCAGAAAGGGGTGGCAGCTTTCAGGGGCTTAAAGGGGTATGGGAAATGACTTCTAGTAGGTGACAGGTTTCCTTTGGGATGGATGAATGTATTCGGGAACTAGATGGAAGTGATGATCTTATTTAGTATATTCACAGTGAATTTAGTATATTCTACTAAAGTAAAGGAATTGGCTATCATGAACAGATAAGACTTTTGGAATGTGAATTTGATTTCAATAAAAGGTATCTTCAGCAAAGAAAAACTCTTGCTCTCAACATGGCCCTCTTTAGCCCACACGATTGACCTTAGAAATCCACTGCCTCCTGTAGGTCCCTGATGCCCACCTGAGTAATGCAGGCACCCGTGAAGGCCACGATCACAGCTACCACATTGACTGTCAACTGAAACTGCAGGAACTTGGAGATGCTGTCGTAGACATTGCGGCCCCACATGACCGCCTTGACAATGCTGGTGAAGTTGTCATCGGTAAGGATGATGTCAGAGGCCTCCTTAGCCACATCAGTGCCTGCAATGCCCTGTGGATGGCACACAAGCACAGTGCCTATTTGTCAGACCCTCCTTGGCCATCTAGCCCATCTGGAGTGGTTTATGCCTTTCTCTTCCAAGTAAGGCCCAAATTGAACAGTACTTGTTTTAATCTAATACATCCTAAGCTGCAAGCTGCATGTTTTCAGATATGGCTGTGAGGGGGCTTTGTTGCTAAACAACATAGTTGCTAACAACATGAACCTTCATACAGCCTGGCTACTCACTTGCCCTTAGTTTGGCTACCCAAGGAAGCCCCGAGAAATGTGGACTGTGTGGGTAGGATAAAGGGCCAATCTTCTGGCTACATGGCAGATTCTTGTTTCTCCAGCACACAAGCTCAGGTATAGCAACAGATATCAAGTCTGTACAGCTCTTACTCACCCCATGGGCCTGACACTAGCCACCCTGAGGGAGCTCAGCTTGCTCTCTACTCCTAGTTGTGAAGTCCAGAAACACTGTAGTACCCCACCCCACCAAGACACCAAATGTGGACTGAATAAAAGGTCTTCCTTTCTGTTACAGTGGGTGAAGGTGACAGCAGGCTATTGTCCCATATGAGTTGGGGACAGGGTTCACCATATGGGTAGTGCCTCGAAGGCCATCCTGCCCAGTGAGAAGAGCTATATCTATAAGAACAGAGAGAAACCAGGGGAAGAACCCACTGTGGTCTCTGCTCATCACTTTTGGGGCCAGGGGCTACTTGGATTGGCTCGAGAATTGGTGATGATGGGCAGCTGCCATTGTTGACAAGCCACGGTTCATTGTTCCTCCCTTTCTTCATTGGCACAGTTGGGCTCCACTGTCACCTCTGGTGTCTTCACACCAAATATCTTTAAGCAAATCACATATGCATTTGTTAATGGTCAAATTCCATGAAGCTCCAAGTGGTCAAGATGTGAGAGAAGGAAGGTTCTAGCACTCTGTCATCTGCCCTGACACTGGCACTTTCTGGTGCAAAGTTAAGTCCAGGAAGAGAAGGATTTCATCTCTGTGAGGAACTGCTCTGGCACCAGGTGGCTTACCATGGCAAAGCCCACATCTGCCTTTTTGAGGGCTGGCCCGTCGTTGGTGCCATCCCCAGTCACAGCCACCACCTGCCGCTGCTCACCAGTCGTGCTATCAATAATACCTGGAACACAGAGTGGGTCAGGATAAGGTTGAAACTTATCTGTCAAAGGTTGGTATGGGCTGCTTCTACGAACTGTTTTACTTATGGAAACACATTCCTTTGCTTTAATGTGGTAGTTTTATGCCCCCATTTAATCAAGGTCCTTTGCTCGGTAAAACAGGGTCCCATGATTTGGTAGAAGGTATGAATTAGATGATTGTCTCCCTATCTTGGCCCTCAATTTCCCCATTTTTTCTATGAGCCACTCTTAGTTGGATGTTTTCTAGTGATTGGTCTCTAAAATCTTCCACTCAAGAACCTAAAACAAATAATAATAAAAAAAAGAACCTAAGACAATACACATAGATGCCAGAGGCAGCCACATATTTAAGAGGGTGAACACATTTGGTTACCTTTGACTAGAGTGTGTTTGTCAGTGGGAGATGACCGGGCCAGCACCCGAAGCTTGGGCCACACCTTGTCCAGCCGCTCCTGTTCTATCTGGAGGAAATAATGGACATGCCAGAGTCAGACTGCAGACAGGTACTGTGGCTGGGAGGACTGGGAAGATAGACAGACAGGGAAGGCATCAGCCCAGGACAGGGAGCTACCTCGCCTTTCTCGTTTCGAATCCTTCTATTGAATTCCTTCCCTTCCAGGCACAGGAAGTCTTCCCCTGGCTGGATGATGCCACACTTAGCTGCGATAGCCCGGGCGGTGTTGATGTTGTCTCCAGTCACCATACGGACTGTGATGCCAGCACGCTGGCATTTGCGAATGGCTTCTGGGACCTGGGAGAGAAAAGAATGATGGGTGTCACTGGCAAATAATAATAATAATAATAATAATAATAATAATAATAATAATAATAATAATAATAACTTCTAGCACAGATCTGTAGGATTGTAAGTCCCAGAAAATCTGTCAATATAGAGAACCTTACAGTTCCAGTTCAGGGTCCTTGGAGTAAGGTATGAAGGAGTTCAGAGTGTGCATGTGTGTGTGTGTGATACGTCTCCTTGTGTCCAGTCGCAAGGACACATTCTGTTCTCTTCGGGTCTTAAGGTGCTACATACGGCCTTGAGTACATAGAACGTCCTCTCAAGCAGGAGAGTGAGGCAGCTCTGCAGCTTTATTTCCCAAAGTGGCTGGAAGCCTTCTCTGTCTCTGCCAAGTGGCCATCATGAGCCTGAGAGCTAGGAGCTTTGGACAGGGTCATCCCAGGGTCCAGTTGCAGCCATTACTCCAAGGTCCACCCATGCACACAGTTGCTAAGCTCTCAATCTCCTAGCCATGTGGCAGGAACACTTCCTCCATTGGATACCTTCCCTTGTAGGACAGACTGTTGTCTTCTTGTCTACTTTGACCTATTTTCTACTTTCTCCTCAAGGCCCTTATATCACAGCAGGGAGCAGATGTCTGTAAAAGTTCCCAGGTCCACTCCATCATTTATCTGAGGGACTGCCTGTGGACACAGCTCTTTGTCCCCATCTGGTGGCCAACCTGTGTTTTCCCACCCCAGCAAGTTTGACTAAGATCCATAGAGGCCTAGTTGGTCCCTTGTGCTTGTCCCAGAGCCAGGACCTGATGTCTGGTCTCCCTGGTAACTTTATTGCTGAACTCTTTCTCAGCCACTTTAAGCCATAAAGGAACTGCCCTTGTTTCCTGGACCCCCTCTGTCACTACCCAGACTGACATAGGTTCTTCCTGCCTTCTACTCCGGAACCCACCCTCCACCCCCATGGTACCCACTGAGGTTAGGTCCTAGTTATATCTTGCTTAACACTTGACTATGTTTCACATTTTCTGAGGTGAAACCTTCAAAATGATCACTGCACAGCTGGCTTTGGGACTCACTTTGCTGCCAGCCCAGCTAGGCCTGTTCTGCTCACTGTGTTTCTCAGTCCATCCCCAAATGAGTACAGGAATGCTCTGCTGACAGTGGCCTGTGGCTACTCTTCAGATGTGGGGAGTATTCACTTTAGATCCAAATGTCTTTGCTTAATGTTCTTGTACCCAAGGCTTCTCCTTCTCTGTCATACCCAAAGCTCTAGAGCAATTCCCGCAGGTACATGCTTTCAGGCTTATGGGTAGGATCAAGGCAGTCTATCATGGGTACCAAAAGACAGGGCTGGGAAAATAGAGGGCCCTTTCACACTCTTTTCTTGAGGATCCTCTCACAAGAATCTCCCATCTTTAAATACCAGTAAAGACAACCATCGCATGAAATGTGCTCAAATCAAAGGCGTTAGTGATCTCTCAATGTTAAGGTTGTCAGTAGGCAGATATCCCTTTTCATTCTGTGATCGCCTCACCCATATGACCCCTTGAGACCTCTCTCCCCAAAATCTGGCTCTATCACAGCTGCAAACTGCCCTCAGCGGTGTCATCATACACAGAAAGACACTCCCGGAACTTCTTTTCAGTCAGAAACTATGCTTGAAGCTCTCCATTCCTGCAGCTACATGTCTACTTGACATCTCCATGGGTTTGCCCTGAATCTCATTCAAATACAATCAAGCCCTTGACTGGCAACTGCCCACCATGCCCTCAATCCAATTCAATTGTTTCCAACCCCTCAGTTTCTCTCATTTCCCTTCCAGTCCATGGGTCCAACAGATGCTAGGATATCCTTCAGACTACCTTTTGCCTCTGGTAGAAGTGGATTCTGAGCCTTGCCCATGGGCAAGGCAGGCTCAGAGAACTCACAGAGGTCAAGGACAAGAGGGCTTTGCAAAGGGATCAAAAACGCTGAGGAAGGTCCCATGGTCCTGAGTCTTAGTCTCTGTTTTGCAGGCTGATGTAGCTATAAATAAGGCAGGAAGAGGTGTGACCTCTTGGAATGTGGGGAGAAAGTGGCTCTCACCATGCACGTTTGTGCCCCAAACGTGTGTGTAGGGGTCCAATGGGGAAAAAGTCACCCTGCCACCCATTAGATAATTTCCAACCTGGGAAGAGTTACTAGAGCAACTTTTAGAAAAGGGGGTAGCTACCTCAGGTCGCACAGGGTCCTCGATGCCCACGACAGCTATGCAGGTAAGGTCACCCACCACCTCATTCTCATTGTCCCAGTCTGGCTCCTGGATTGCAGAGAAGTCCCTGTAGGCAATGCAGATGGTGCGGAGGCCATCACAAGCCATAGGCTCAATGATCTTTTTCACCATGTCATCCCGGTCCCGAGGACGAAATCCTCTGAGTTCACCATTGCTGTTTAAGATGTTTGTACACCTGGGATGGCAGGGTAAGGGGTAGGGAAGGTGAGTACAGGGAGTGAACAAGAGGAAACAATGTCAGTCATACTGGATTAGGATAGGACCTTAACCAATGACACTATAAAAAACAAACAAACAAACAAACAAACAAACAAACAAAAACATGATGCAGAGGTGCACAGATAAGGGGGAAGGCCATGTGAGCACAGGTGAGAAACTGAGGTGATGCAGCTGCCTGCTAGAAGCAGAATTTAGGAAAGGAAAACAAAAATTCTCCCTTCCCACTCTCAGAGAGAGCACTTAGCTTGGTTCACACCTTGACTCTGGGTATCTGGCCACCAGAAAAGTGAGGTAAATTTTGTTTGTGTGTGTGTGTGTGTGTGTGTGTGTGTGTGTGTGTGTGTGTGTGT